CTGATCTAGGAGTTTGATTTGATGAAATTGGCGCTGTGTTTCCGATGACATGGCAAACAATATTTTCCTTCAGGAGAAGTTGGTCGACATTCAAAAAAAATTGGGAGTGTCGTAGTCGATGTAAATCAAGGCTTTAGACAAGACAGATAACAAAGGCCGCGGATTCACTGTTACCGTAATCCGCGTTAGCATTGGTGCGCGCTGCAGCAAGCATTGGCGCGCTTTTTAGGCGACGCAAGGATTAGCACGAAGAGCCAAAAGATTGGGAAAGTCACAAAAGCGGTGGAATAAAGAGTAGACAAAGGAGCACAAAATAGAGCAGAGTAGGCAGTCCTGAGAGAGGATTAAAGAAGAGCGGTTCATACCCTAGCAGCCCCACCGGCCCCACAGGCAAGCCAGTCAAGGAAAAACTTGGAAAAGAGCACTCAGATTATTACTTTTCGTAGTTCTCATAATTTGGTTGTTCTTGCGGCTTAGATCATCATCATTATTGGTTATGCACTCGACGTTGAAGCTTAGCGAAAGTTACCCATTAGCAAATTTATCCACGACTAGTCCGATCCGCCCAGTAACTGAAAAACGAAGCAAATTTCGGTACTATTCCACTGCCCCAAATCTCAAAATTTTATTTTTCGTCGAAACTTTGTCCATAGGGGTAATTCGATGCCCTGATTACGAATATGACATTCATTTTTGATGCTGGCGCCATTTGGCGCCAGTTGGCGCCACCTTGTCACGACGGCTGTTTTCACCAAATTCGGTGTAAACTTGTACATAGGGGTTATTTGGTGTCCTGATTACGAATGACATTTATTTTCACGTTGGCGCCATTTGGTGCCTATTTTCTGGTCCCCATCCCCAACTAGGGGATGGGGACCCATTCCCTAGTTGGGGCTTACTGCACCCGGCCCCAGGACTAAGCGTTTGGCGAGAGGAGGCTCAGAGGTGAAGAAGCCACTCACCTTGTGATTTCACACATTTCATCTCTTGCTTCGTGACAAGGTGGCGCCAAATGGCGACAAATGGCGCCAGCGGCAAAAGCGAATACTCGTAACCGCCGATCAACTGCAGGGCCTGGTGATTCAGGTTTTTATGGTGTTCTGTGGGCACACTCGCATATGCACACCATTACAGCATCTCTGCTTTCTTCCCTTCCTTCATAAGGCTTAGTCCTCTCACTTGTTGGTTGACGACTGCCTCCTATGCGAGCGCTGATGCTTGTGTCGCTGCAAGGGCGCGCCAATGCTTGCTACAGCGCGCACCAATGCTAACGCGGATTACGGTAACAGTGAATCCGCGGCCTTTGTTATCTGTCTTGTAGGCTTTAGCAACACGATCCCAAAACCTACAACTTTTTGATCAGTTTGTTTGGGCACGTACGCTCAAGGTTCTGGAGGAAAACGGGACAACGTTTCAGAAGGATCTTAACGGACCATGGTTGGCCCCACACACACGTGTACTCGAATTAAGAACTCTTTTGTGTGCGCAGAAGTTTGCACTATTTCAAACCTAGGTGAATAACTACTGATGTTGATAATCTTCCGAACACAAAAAACGATTTCAAAACAGACCACAATTGCCATGAAGTATCAAATTGCCTCGTACACCGAAAGCGTGAATAAAATAGCGTTACTTACGGATGGGTCGCAGGATATGCCTACGTCCCCTCATTACTGATGCCTTCTCCCATTCATTCCGGTCCGGAACGCCAGTTGTTTTTTTTATATCTGTCTTGGCTCCTGAGTCACTTACTTCGACTCCTTCTAATGTTGACCATCTTAAGTGATTGCTACTTTGTGCACTTCACCCCTTTCAAAGGATGGTTGGTTATTACGGTTTTTTGAAGCATTTGAGGTGCTGTTTGTCCTAATTGTTTCAGTGGGTCTCATCCGGTGAGGGGGCATAGCGATTCAGAGCATTTCAAACCACGGAAAGCATATTTTTTTGTAAACGTTCAGGACTAAGCCTTAGAAGGGAAGGAGCCCCCGGGTCCGTGAGCAATCTTGGTTTTCCGGGGGACTTCCTCCCCCTCCTAGGCTTAGTCCTGACCTGCTGACTAGGTGAATATTACTTTTCGTAGACGTTAATGTCATCAAAACAAGAACACATAAAGGATAAGGATAAAGCATTTGCCGTTGATCAATCCCTTTTTGGGATGCGGCACGCATTCTACTTCCATTTGTACATTCGTAGTGGCGTTTGAATGCGATGTGGCCTATACAATGACTTGCGGGGGCAGCCGATGTACAAGTCAGTGTTTTTATCCTCCCAGACAAGTCTGGTACCAATTAACCGACCCCGGAGGGATGGAAGGCTTGGTTGGCCCGGGCGACTCACGACCCAGGATTTGATCCCCGGACCGCTCGCGTGGTAAGCGTGCCACTTGCCACTACACCACTTCCGCCCGTCAAGAACATTTATCAAGAACACATACATTACACAAAACACCTGAAGAAATAACATAGGAAAAAAGCTGATAGCAGCTCGTAACTTTAAAGGACTCCTTGAGCCAAATTGGCATTAGAGCAGACCGTGCACCGCAATGCCCCCTCTTACCGGATGAGACCTGTTTTGGTTCCAAGAGCATTTCTCGAGGCTTTTCATTGAGTAGTAACCATCCAGCTTTCATTTAGATGAAATTGAAAGCTCTTAGGTCCCGAACTAAGTTTTGAAACCAAATCCAAACTGCAAGTTTTCTCTGCCGTGAGTAATTGAAGGTGCGTACTGTAATTAAAGGCAGTTACCTGCGCAATATGGGGAATGTATTTCCTGGAGCTGTTGCTAAGATATGAACGAATAACGCCCCTCCCCACTTTCTTCACGATTTGGGGCGCGGCCGCGGCGAGCGCGGACGAGTTGGTAGTGCCCGCGAACTGTGCGGGTAAATTTGAAAACGCATCACCACACAGTTCGCGGGCACTATCGACTCGTCCGCGCTCGCCGCGGCCGCGCCCCAAATCGTGAAGAAAGTGGGGGAGCCACGAACAACGAAGAGAAGAAAAAGTGCTTGGACACCTTGAAATCTTCCTTCTTAAGGCTTGCTCTTTGAACTGAGCGTTCAGGGTCTTTATAACAACAGAAATTTTTATTGCGGTTTCGAATGCGTTGCCTTCCGTACTCCCTCCCAATTCCCACCCCTCTTGTGATAGCACCCAATGGTAAATAGTAACACTTACTCCTCTCTTCTAATAACAAATCGATGTTGAGCTCGTAAAACGCCTTCCATCGACGGAGTGTGTTGTCGATTCTTGACACATTCATTTTTTGTGACTTTTATAGACCATCATTCTGTTCAAAAATGGCTGGCTCGCATTCTCGGCGAATACTTTGACCAGTTTCACGTAAAACTTTTCAGCACTCATTCCCTTTTATCCCTTTTAACCACTCCAAAGATCGTTCAACTCGCTCAATGCCAAAATGCGACCCCCTCTTTTGAATATGGCGAACGGTTGGTTGGCACTGGGGGTAGGGAACAGACAAGTGAGTAAATCACTGACAGTGCCTGAGACCAAAGCTCAGGGAGGGGAAGGGTTATGGTAGAGGATGTGAACAGATTTTCTTCTTCGCCTGGTGTTTCGCCCCTTCCCTGGAGAGAAACGATCCTATTCCTAATACCACCTACCAACGTTTTTCAAATATCCTGTCTTGGTGTTCCCCCACCCCCCAAGCCATGAGTGCCCACTTCATATATTTTCCAACATTAATTCTAATGCACTCTCGAATTCGTCGAAGACCTACATTTTATAGGATGAGTCACTAGCTATGAAAAGGTTGGATGGTTACGTAACATTCACTTGCAGAGTAGGTGGTCGGTGAAGTTCAGTAGGAGCAGTATGTCAGAACACCCAAACAATGAGCCTGAAGCACCTCCAGCTAAAAAGATGTTCACATTCCGGCAGTCAGCCTTAGCTGCAAAGGCCGATCAAATATGGAACCAAAGTGAGTATTTTCCATCCAGTCTTTATTTCATTCTGTTTCAAAGTGTGTTCGGATTCTTTTCTTTCAAAAATGCTTCAAAAATTAAGAGATAATATTCTGCGGCCCATGCAGCGCACCCCAACCAGAGAACCCATCTCTGGTTTGGGGATGTTGCAGAGCGTGGTTCACTAGCACACGTTTCGCAGCGCGAAACTTTTTCACTGCGGTAACCCCAGGTCCACTCATGATCAGCTCCCGCAGCATAAAGTGTTCTACGCTTCAAAACACGAGAAAATTTTTTGTCCTCTTGAACCACACCCCGTGCTGCATATGGCCCCTGAGTCTTGGTAATCTGATGATTAGATGAGAGATCCACTTTATCGAACGGCGAGATATGATGTAGATCCCAGCTTTTTTATGGTTCTTGATACAAGCGATGGGTATTCTCACTGTAACTACTCGTAATTTGGGAAACAGTGAAATCTACATTGTCCTGTTTTCGGCGTTGCCTATTTAATTGCCCTTTAGAGTGATTCTCCACGAAATGGTTTATTGAATGAGTTTATATTCATTTGAGAGTAAAATTTGGATTGATCTTCGGATTTTTTTTCGGACAGTTTTTCAAGATTTGCAATTTCAGAATTTCACTATGAAACCGTATCTGACCCCTTCTAATAAAATTGTCCCAACGTTTCAGGCAAATCTGGATTCGGATTTGGTATCACACCTTCTACACATGTTCACTTGGAGAAGAAATCACTGGATGACGTGCTTGGAAAGATGGCTGCGGAAAAGAAATTGCGACAAGAGCAAGAAGGCAAAGGGCAACCTCTCTTCGTCTTTGGGTCCAAAATCTCGGATCGTGTTGTAAAGGTATTTATCGGAAAATGTACAGAAACTCTTGATTGTCTTGATATTTGTTTACAAGGTTATTATTGTCCCATTAAGGAGGAAAAAGATGCGGCTGCTTCAAATGGTACTGTCGCTGCTGAAAAGTGCGAAGAGGACTCGAAGCCCAAAACAGCAGAAGAGTTGTTCAAGAGTGCCGCTCAACAGGATAAACCGGTATGTTCTTTAGTGATCTCCGCAGTGCCGTTGTATATCTCCGTATTGCCGGTATGACCGATATACTGTGTACTTTCTTCAGCAGGAACAACACGATTTCATAGCTGAAGCTAAGGAGGCCGCGGAGAAGAAGAAGGAACACGAGAAGCCAAGCACGAGCATAGTCACAGTCACAACGGGTGAAGAAAACGACGTCAATATATTTCAGGTCAGAAGTTCTATTCGTTTT